GGGCAGGGGCAGGTGGGGGCTGGAGCCGGGGAGAGGCAGCTCCCACCACTGCTTGCACCCCAAGATCTGCTTGGGGCAGGCTGCAGCTGGGGCTCTTCTCAATGGAGGCTGGGCTTGGAGTGAGTGCCAGTGACACTGGTAGGATGCTGCATCCACCCCAAATTTTGCTGCCACACTACTCCCAGTGCGACAGCCACCAGCTGCCCGGCACTGCCCTAGCTCAATGTCCTACCTCCACCCATGTGGACGGAAGAATTGGAGCAGCACCAGGCAGCTGGTGGCTGCGGCATTGGGAGCTGAGTGGCGGCAAAATTCGGGGTGGATGCAGCATCCTTCCAGCATTGCCAGCGCCTGCTCTGAGCCCAGTCCCTGCCGAGAAGAGTCCCGTACAGCTCGAGCTGCAGCCTGCCCCACTCCATGCAGATCCAGGAGGCATATGCCGCTTCTTCCTCCCCACGCCCCATGTCCTCCCGGGGTGAAAGCAGTGGTGGGAGCCCCGCCTCACCTGGGCAGTGCCTGCCCCGTCCCTGTCCCCTCCCTCACCGTGGGGGACATCAATCTGTCCCCACCACACCCCTTCCACTCCACCGGACTTGCCAGCTGGAGGCAGCTGCATCGGACGTTGGATCAGTATCGGCTGATATACCTCCTTAAATATGGGCTATCAGTATTGGCCCCCAAAATCTCTATCAGTGCACCCATAAATTTTACCATCTGCTGCAAGGATGAAGTGGGATGTGTGGTCTGAAAAGTGCATCAGACTTTCACATGTATCAAACAAACTCTTCCATTTTTTGCAGAAAACTATACAGATTAAATTCTCCAGAAGTTTCAAGCTAAAATTTAAACAATTGAGTAATGTGACAACATAACAGGAAACTGTTGCCACTTTACTTTATATTCAACAACATATATCCAACATGCAAATTAAAAATGTATATTCTGTGGCGGAGTGTCTCTAGAGAATTCTCAAATGAGTAATTGAGTTAGCAGTTTATCTTTGCTTAATTCTGTAGCATAGAGAGTCTGTTGTGCATCTGTTGTATGAATAGTTCTGCACACTCTGTTTTAATGATTAATTGCAGATTTTTTTTTAACCAGTGAATCTTTTTGAAAGTGGTTACTATGAAGACAGCGAACTCAACTTCTCTTCATTTGGTTTTGCATTAATTTAATATCACTGACATCAGTGGAATTGCTCTGGATTTACATCAGGAAAAATATTTAAAAGGAATACAAATTGTTCACTGATTTACCTAAATTCTAATGGGAATGTACGATTGTTTGGAGTGTGTTTCCCACCCTATCCTGCTCCCCCTTTTTTATGTTTACAACACTGCTGAGTCCTGAGAGCAAAGTTCTCTGTGATGTATATTATTGGCATGTGCTCTGGAGCAGGAAACTGCAGTATGGGTTTGTACATTAGCTAGCACAATTAGCATGGTTATAATGCAGATCAGTAAATCGCTATATTGTAAATGTGTTTCTCAAATAATTGTTGACTTAAATTGCCATACCACAAAACTCTAATAGTAATTTTACACCAGGGATAAAATAAGCCTGTCTGTATTCACTTTAACATGTCTCTTTGGTTTCCCTTTGTTGGGTATAGGTGAACAGAAGATATAGAAAAGATCAGCATTTTTCTGGAGACGAGGAAGACTGAGGAACATGCTTTAATTTATGAATGTAGATAACATGTTCTGCCTCAGGAAAATTGATGGTGCACTATGTGGAACACAGTCTCTGAATGGACACTACCTAGTCTTGTCAGCAGGAGATTCTTAGGCCTTAATCCTGCAATAGGATCCATATAGACTGAAGAGTCTTCTCACATATGGAGATCCCATTGTGAGATCAGTGCCTCAAGTAGCACATCTCCAAACTCCTCAATCTCATGTTGTTATATATAATTTACAATTAAAGTTGAAATTTAAATTAAATTAAGTTTTCTTGCTTTTTTTTCTTTTTGACTTTCTTTATATGAACTTATCTGATATTCCTTTTGAAGGTGGGGGTGAACGAGATTCTTGAGATCAATTGACATGTTCTTTTTCTGGGAAAAAGTGTAAGTAGTGTGTCCATAATGCAGTTTTGGCTAACAGATTTACAAATGAAAACAATTACAATGAAGCCTGTGTTTTGTCTTTAGTTCCCCTCCTTTTCATGCAAATCTTCTGCCTCATCAGTGCCAGTGGGAGGTATATAATGAAGCATCTGAGTTCCTTTTTAGTAGATGGATGGGAATGGAGTTGTTTATGTTTGTTCTTGTTTTTGCTTGAATGCACAGCTCAATGAGGATCAGAATTTTGTGTTGGTGGGAACCAGCTATAGAATAACCTGTGACCGTTTCCTTTTTTCCAGCCGGGCAAAGGGGAGAACTGTAGAACAAAGGGAATGCAAAATCGTTTTCCAAGACTTCTAAATCTGTGCACAATAGATAGCCTTTTCATTATTTGCTGCCACTTACATGAATCATTCCCAGGATAAGAGATTCTTTGCAGATCTATAAAATACCAGTAACTCGCAGCATGTAGATTTTGTTAGTGAGACTTAAATACTTGCAAATTTAACTCTCACCAAATATGCAAAATATCATGGGCAATACTTAGCATAAGTTATCCTCCTCCTGCCTGATTTTCTTAGAATGCTAAGGACATATTGGACCAAAAAATGTTTGATTACCAGTTTGGCGTGTTAAATTGACCAGGAACAATTTGCAATGTATATTGTAGTTTGTTTGGGAATTCAGGCCAAGGATACTTCTTCAGTACCAGCAAAGCTCATGTAGTTGACTGGGCAGAAAAGTATCACAGCAAACTATTCTGGATATAGTTGTGTGAGCAACTTCATGTGGATATGGCAAATCTCTGCTGGCTCACTAAAGTTAACCGTTCTGTATAGATTCATCTTAACAATCTTTGGTTTTTATCAGGCTGCAAGGAACCGTAGTCATGCTTCTTTTGACAGTAAGAGGAAGAAAAAGACAACACAGTGTGTTCCTGTCTACTCCTTAACACTAACTGTTTTGTTCTGTGCAGACCACTTCAGTACAAATATAGATTTCTGCTTCTCTGGTTCAGGAGAATACCATCTTGTGTATATGTGGTTTGTTCCCACAGAACATTATTACCAGTTCAATTAGTTGGAAAAACAGATTTAGCGCACAAATCTTTTTCAGTGGCATCTGACATATGGTAAAGTCAGCATTGGAAGAATTCAGTGGCTTGGTTGTCTGTAACAGGGGTTCACAACCTTTTACTAACATGGGGCTTGCAACCTGGCTGGTGCCCTGGACCACCCTTCCCCTCTGACCCACTCCAGTCAGTGGTAAGCAGAGGCTGCAATGAGGAAGAGCATCTCTCCATGCAGGGTGGAACACCTAGAGGTAACTGGCAAACTCTTAGGACAACGTGGACCAGGTCTGACCTTTCCAGGCTGGATCCAATCTCTTTGCAGGCTGAATGTGACCCATGGGCCTTAGGTTGCCAACCTTGGTCTATAGGATTTATATCAAGCGTGGCCAAACTTCTTACCCTTCTGGCCATGAACCAAAATCTTGATGCTACCAATAGCTACAGGATGCAATATTGCATGTGTCCCAGAATCATGGTGCCTCAGTTCACAGCCTGTCATATTCCAACGAATCTATAAATTCTGCTAAATACTTTGTCAAAGGACATGAAAAAGGAAAGAAAAGTACCCAGTTCAAATCATATCTTGTCATTAAATGATTTCGTAAAATAAATAATTGTCAAGAACTGAAGAAAATTAAAAAAAAATAAAATGCAGAATTTTGTTTTTGTTTAACTACTTTCTTCTAGAGCAGGGGTTGTCAACTGGGGGTACATGTACCCTTGGAGGTACTTTAGAAGGCCCTAGGGGGTGTACACGGGGAAAGAGCGCCACCACACACTATCCCACACTGTCCTGCAGGTGTCGCCCGGCCAGCTGGATGCAGGGGGTGTGGGAAGCTCGCATGTGGTGGCTGCTGCTGCTCTGTATCCAGCTGTGCACCCCCTACCCCCTACTCAGCATCTGGCTGCACCCCTCCTCCCCACATTCAGCAGCCAGGGGTACACTGCTCCACAACCAGCCACCAGGGATACAATGATCCAAGAAGGCTGAAAACCCCTGTTCTGGAGCAAAATTTAAATTGCCCTGGGGCCTTATGCCGCTTGTGAACCATGGTTTAGTGATCCCAGATCTATAGGATCTATTCTGCCAAACTTAGCATTTGCCCATCTGTTCCTTCAACTTTTCAATTATGTTCCAGTTTCTGTTTTTAAGTATAAGTTAGTGTGCCTTCCATGGCACACTACACATGCATTAATGCACTTTAATCTAGTACCTCCATTGTGAAGTACTAGGAAAGTGTGCATTATTCTGTCTTTAATGCTCATTAACTGAAAAAGCACAGTCTTTCAGTGATGCTTTAATGCACATGAAAGCACGTGTAGACATGCCCCAGAGCAGTGGTTCTCAACCTTTTTTTGTACCAGAACCCATTTTTAAACATCAATGGCCAGTTCCAACCCAGTGCTCTTCACTGCTGACCCATGCCCCCCCCCCCACCAGGTCCCCAGTGTGTGGGGCAGGGGGTGGGTGTGTGGGGTACATGGGGGACCCCAAGCAGCCTCTGGCAGCTGGAACTCTGCCAGTTCCCCACATTTTTCTCCTTTAAAGGAGAATCCATTTTTTAAGTTTGTTGATCCATTTTCAAGGGTTTTTTCATGAGATGTTTGTATATTCTTGCGACCTACTTCTGGGTTGCAAGCCACGGGTTCAGAAACGCTGCCCTAGGGCACCCAAACTTATAAGGCTGGGTCATTCTGGCCAACAGTGCTTGTTGACTCCAAGGCTCTTCATTCAACCTTTAGTGCATCAAGGACATGCCTCTTCAGTATAATTTTGGTGTTCCAATGGTAGTTAATCCACATTCAGACCCTTAAAACTTCTTAATGTTCATAACAGCTTCATCTTTTAAAACCTGGCTTGAATAAGTCTCTGATTTTACTGCCCCTTCCAGCCACAAAGCATTATCCACACAGAGGCCTCAGAAAGACTGAAAGCTCTCAGGTGTTAAAACTTGTCTGTCCTGTGACTAAGAATGGACACAATGTGCGCCTGTTCTACCTGGTTATATACGTGTTCTGTTTGTATGGAGAATAAGGAGCAAGAGAAAATCAAGAGATATGAAGAAACCAAAGTCCCATTTTCTGGAGAAGTCTAAAAATGAGCCTGAAACTTCTGGATCCTATTCCATAGATTCCTGAACCCATTAGTCTTCATAATCCAGTGCTCCGTTGCAAACAACCAACAGTCAAGAATTCAGCAGATAAGCTGGCCTAAAGAGAAAGAGAGTGTGTGTGTATTTAAAAGAAACTGACATTGGCGATAGGGTTAACACCAGCCACTGTAGCAAACTCATTAACACTTTTGATGTAAAAAACCCTCTATTGTCAGAGCAAAGTGCTGAAAGGGATTGTTTGTAACGCTTCAAGTGGAAACAAGAAAAAAATCTGTCATCTTAAAGGTGTGCAGAAAGACTTCTGGAAATGCACTTTACCTGGTAGCTCCCATCCAATTGGTGAAACTGAGTCTGCTACTAAGCCATCTGCTTTCTCAGTACCAAGTTGACTAGGGAATAGATATGAACTGTATTAGAGCCTTCCTTGATGCTGAAACATCTGTCTGTTGCCACTAGTACAGCCCCCAACAATTATGATGCTCCACACAAAGAACTATCCATGGAGAATTCCTCATTGCCACCAAGATGTCTTCTCACTGTTGTTGAGCCAAGACCCACAGTTTATAAGGAAATAAAAGTGGTGCTGCTGTGAGACCTGAGAGACTCTTTTGAGCGTGACCTCCAAATTTGCGTAGCTGCTGACTGGACCGATACCAGCCATGCACGTGGAGTGCCACTGTCATCCTTCTGAGGATTTAAGGGGTCTGTCTTCTGAGTCTTCAGCAGAGCCAGATTGTAAATGGCCAGGTAAGAAACCATACTTCAGTCTTGCCGTGGGAGCAAGGGTTTGTCTTCAGATTTTTTTCTGAGCATAGGGAATGCCTTCAGGCCCTCAGGTAGTGGGATGAGTAAAACTGGCTGATGTGAGAATTTGCAGAAGGCCCTGACAAGAAGGTCAGAAGCAGCAGCTACTTTCTAAACTATTCACAATGCAAGTAAGATCAGATTATTCTAATATTTCCTTTTGTTTGTTTGTTTTTATTTATCAACATATGGAGGGGCATTCATGTTTTTATTATAAATCTTTTTATCTTTTATTAGCAACATCTTTTGTTCATAATGTTAGCATCAGTAAGTGGGATTTTGAAGCATTTGACTATACAGGCAGGCCTCTTGTATGGAAGGAGGGGAACTAAAATTTCTGAGCACATGACCAGACAAGTATGATTAAGCTAAAAGCTGCTAAAAGCTGGCAAGATGTAGATGAGATGGGTAAAGCTGAGGCAGTAGATGGCAGAGAGGAGTTTGATACTGAAGGGCACCCTTAAGGCTATGAGAACACCCTGGGAATGTGCCTTAAAGGTGTAGCTGACCAAATTTTGGGTCTGGGCATGTCACAGATGGTATGATAACCCTTCTCTAGTCTTCTGGGACTTTGCCGTCATCCATGAGTTGGCAGGTATCACTGACAGGTAGTTCCTACAGCACTGTGGAGTGAATTGTCAGGCCCTGCTGACTTGTATTCATCCACATTGTTCATACGTTCTGTGCTATTTACTTATGATCTTCATTCCTTTGCCTTTGTTTGTTGATTTTGCAGTCAGCTGAACATTATTTTCTGCCTTGAAGATGGAAGTAAAGTAGTGTTGAACAGCTCTTATTTTTGTCTTCTGTGAACAGATCACCACCTTTACTGAGCAGATGACTCATAGTTTCTGTGGGCTGTTGTCTAACATATTTGTAAAACTTCCTCCCTGTCTTTAACCTCTTTTGGGTGGGGGAAAATTTTTTTTGCTTGTTTTCCTTATTTTCCCCCATATGTTTGTTCTGTTCTTCTTGTATACTTCCTTATCGCCACATCCTTCCTTCCTTCCTTTGGCTCCACTCATCTCTTGATTTTGTTTCAGATCACTAAGAAGTGCCTTATGCGGCCACATCAGCC